TATTTTTGCACTGTCCCCTCCAATTTTACTTGGACCAAAAGCCAGATCATCTGCAGGATGCAGCGATGACCTTCCAGATCTTCCCCTAAAAATGTGTTCTTTATATTAAACTTAACTACAGCTGCTGATAGTTAGGCGTTGCAAAGTCCTCACAAACTCGCCTCAAACCCCGAAAGTCTGTTGAATTTTCACATACCATCTGAACGCATTTCATGTCCAGATGGATTTTACGATAGTTGTTTTTTTTAAAGGTAGACGCATCTATTGCAACATAAGCGTCTCAGGTTTATTGTTCCATAGTTGTCCACATTTGAAAAAAAAGCAAAACACAAAGCTTGGATAACCAGTTCGTCCTTCCCAAAAGTTGGGAAATCTCTAGACTTAAACTTTTCACGCACTCCTTAAACTTCTTATTACCCGGGAACATATGCAGCAAAAATAAAGGAATTAGTGTCAGAATGTTTTATTTCAACATTGAGATACCCTGGTACGCTGGAAGACCTACAAAGTTTATAATGCGAAATTCACGTGAGAATGTTTTATCTATATATATAAATAAAAGGTCTATCTTCCTACGATCTATAGGAAAACACATAAAGGAAATAAAATCCCGAAAATGGAATTATAGCAAATCGTTCAAAGTACAATCGCATCTCTAACGGTGATGTGCTGCACGCAGCTCAAGGCAGACAGGCGGATAATGGCTAAAGACTAGTGACCTTTAAAAATCCCCCCCCGATCCCCCCCGCCCAAAGTTACTAAGACAAACCTCTGGCAGTTGGAATTTTAATTCAAAGCCACGGGCAACTTGAAATAAAATACTAGAAATGTGAACGTCTGCCTAATCGGAAGCATGGTAACATGTTTAAATGCGACGCTTTAGGGGTTGTTGTAGCTAACAGTTTGAGTGGAGCTAATTTTTGAGTTTGCCAAAACATCTTTTGAACACGGGCTGAAATTTGCGTTCGCTTTGATAAAGTTCTATTGCAGCGTCAGTGGAAAGGTGGTCCATAGTCTCGACTGCATGAGACATGAGAAAAGTTTAAAACGCACACAGACAAAAAACAGTCATGTCACTGAAGACCCCAGAACTGGTGCCGGGTCGTATCAACTGTTGTGGATGTAACTATCGGATATATTTACGTGAACGTGATAATAGCAGAGGGAGAGAGAGAAAAAAAACATTGTTTGCAGTTCAGTACAAACTATTGTTTCACCACTTTAGTCAACGACTTTCTACTTTCCCTACAGCCCAATATTTTCGAAGGTTTGCATTATGTGGCATTGTGTGGCTCCAGCACATGTGGTCGGTCACGGGTCAGGGGTCAAAAGATATGCTATTTCAAAAGTCGGGGACTTCAGAGCAATTCTTGCGCGTAAAAAAACCAACTGACTAACTTGATTGGAATCAGTTTTAATAGAGATAAATATGATAAACTAAGCGTTATCTAATACACTGAAACGAACCTATATATAGTCCCAACTCAACACTGACTTTTAATATCGGTACGTTTTAAACAATTATGAAAATCATGCGTAGAAAAAAAAGATATCTATTAAATATATGGTGTTAGGATTAGTCATTAGGAACAAATTTGCAACATAACTTTTGCATTACAATTAAAATCAGTTAAATGGCATCCCATTCATGGAAATGGGGACCATGGATGCAAACACCAATTTACTACCTCAATATCCGAAAGCATTTGTTTATCGGCAGAACGCGGATAAAGGGCACGCGTTACTTAGCTCACGTTTTTAAGGACTTGCATTGGACTCAAATATGCATAAAACCCATGTTAGGTGAAAGTAAAGGAAGTGAAGCTACACTTTAGCGACAGCAACGGTCTATCTTAATCACAAATAAACGATTGAATGATTAACTTCGTTTCGAGATATAAATCAAATTTAAATTTTAAATTAGACTCAATGAAAATAGGCAGAATTTTAAATTACACAGAAAAATTCCTTTTGTAAACTAACACTTCAACCCCAAGGCAAATATTTCCTCCCCCACCATCCTCCCTTCACAGAGCAACTAAATGCTTTGCTATCCATCGGTTGAAAACAATACGAGGGAAAATATCAGTACACACAAATGCATTCGAATGGAAATGCATAATTCAGAGCCATTCGCACCTAGTTTGCTTTTATTGCAACATGATGGCCCCTGACAAGGGCTATTCTGAGGAAACAAAAAAATCTGACTGATATCTCTATTCTCTTTTTAGTCAATTGCATTTACATGAAAGATGATGGAAATTCAGAGGTCAGGAGTCGTTTAGTTAAAAAGTCACTTGAATACACGTGCCTCCCTTACCGTCCTCTACCTGTTGAAGAAGATGTCTTCGATCTTTTAATTCAGGTAACTTCGAAGTCAAAAAAAAATCTACTTTGTAGCTTTGCCTAGATAGTCATTCTTCATTTCTCCTTTTCAAGGTTTCTGGAAGCAGTTAGGGAATGTATGATGAAGCAGAAATGAGCCGTCAGGATGATATTTTAATGGCTTATATGTCACGTCGGTGCATGTGGCTTTGAACTCAAGCAGCCTGCGTTTCCTGCGGAGAGCGCCGCAAATCCCACTTGATAACTTCTACCATCCCACAACTTTTAAAATCAGCCCTTCTTTGTATGTTTGAAGATGTAGCCTAAAGATAATGCTGAGGGAAACGTTTACTTTTCATACTCTTTAAGTGTCCCTTTAGAATTTGCACACACTTTCAAATGAGCAGTAAATCTTTTTGAATCAAATTACTCCAGCTTCTGCTCCTCGACTGCTGTGATTTTAATATCCATGTTTTCAGCATATTACATCATTTAAAGCAATGCTATGATGTTAGCTATTGTACTCACTCAGCAAGGCAATATCGCGTTCCATTTAATTCTTAGGGAGCACATACACTACGAAGCTGGAAAATAGCATTTCATTATATGCACAAGCGTGGGGTTCTGATGCATCGCAAGATCCAGTTTAACTGCAGAGATACCCTCACGTAAGATGATTTCAAATGATTAAATTACCTGAAATGTACACTTGTAATTCCTTATGAGATAACCGACACTTGGAATTCATCAGCAAAGTAGGCACAACATCAAATCGACTTAAATTAGAACTATTCGCCAAAGAGTTACCCATTTTTAAAATAATTTGTTGCCACACTTCAAACGTCAACACCTCCTCCCTCCCAACCCCTCTGTTTTCCAACATTTAGCATTAAACTTGTTTTCTTGAGGGAAAACTGTAAAATATAACCGCAACTGGATCATCCAAAGAAAGTCATTTAAACCGCCGGGGTTGTCGCTAATAAGCTTTTTTTCCCTCTGTCTCTTAAGTTAACCTGTTGTACTTCGACATGAAACCTTTAAAAAATAGTTAAAAAGTAAGCGGGCACAAATGTTCGTATGAATGTGATGTTCGACCAGGACAGAGTTGAATTGGGAAGAGAGGGATCGGGAAACAGGGAAACTATTTTAAACTGTATTCTTGTAAAGTGATAGTTCACCAACGGAGATAATTATTAAAGGATCCGGTGAGGCTTCTTTGTTATAAAATAAGACTTTAACATAGACTTAGCTTCAAGGAAACTCATTGAAGTGGTGAACAAAAGGTAAATTGAACGATTCCGATTCTTTGTTGGCTTTTACGTTTCTTTTACTAGAATATAATTAGACTTAATGAATATGCAAACTATTGGTCTCACGTTAATAATTAAATTACTTTGTAGAAACACAGAAGATGGACTTCAGCAAATTTGGGGTTGTGAGTGGCAAGGAATAATCTAAAACATGATGTGGAAAGGAGCTACATTTTTCTCAGCTGACAGTATCCATAAACCATTTTCGCTTCCTTTGTTTCTAATCAATGAAAACAGCACCGAACGTTTTTTTTTAAAAAGGGGAAATTCTTACTTGCAGCTATTCTGCAATTGTTTGGGAGCCTATAGATATGTATAGAGCAATTCATTGTCACTTTAGAGAGAAAAAAGGCCCAAGCAAGATGTTTTCAATCGCTTTTTACATGGGGAAAGACAGGTTAATCAAGGGTTTCGTCTCGAAAACAACCAAGTGTTGTATGTTTGCACTGAATCCAAACATATGCATTTTCTGAACCCAATTCAAAAGAGTGTTCTTTCTCTTTTTGCTCACTCATCTGGGTAAGTGAATTTTCACCGGCGATCAAAAAGCTACTGAACAACAAAGGAAGCCGCCCGCTTTTTCTCTCGTCTGGAGTTGTGGCACATGAACGAATTTCAAACAGTCTGACAAGGGGTGACTGAATTGTGAAGTCGAGGAAGACAAGAGTTTTTTTTTCTCTCTCCCTCTCTTCAGTTCGCTCTTTTCTCCTGTCCGTCTCTCTCCCGCCCCCCCCCCCCCCACTCCTCCCCACGACCACCATCCCCACCCCCTCCTCCTCTTTCCATATTATATATAAAAAAAGAGAGAGGACAGAGGAAAAGAAAGAAAATCTGGACTCGACAATAATTTATCAGGAGCGACTGTCATGCGCGCACAATACCTGGGATTGATGAGGCAAACGGGCCAATTAGAAGGCGGGATGGTCGGGCCCCGTCGCTGATTGGTGGCCGGGCGCAACGGGGCAGCCCGGGCCTGGCCAATGGGCTCGGAAGTCGTGGACCACGTGATCCCGCCCCCAACTCCCATTCATCAAGGGGATGGTGTTGTCTTTTCAATTCATTTATCTGCAGGAATGATTGCCGCTATCATTCCCGAGCTCACCGCCCGGCTGATGAGGTGAAAGTTTCTCCCCAGGAAGATAAACCGCAAAAGACAATATTGCATGATTTGCGTTTGCAGAGGGGGGAATATCTCCAGCAAATTCCCACACGCTGAAGAGAGAGAAAAAGAGAAAGAAAAATAAGGAGTTTTTGCAAGTCCTCCAAACAGACTCAGAGACTGTTTTCTACTGAGCAAGTTTCGTTGTGAATTGCCTCTCTTTCTTTTCAAACAACAAAAAAATTACACCATTATTCCTTCTGTAACCCCCATCGCCAGACGATGCTTTTGGACGCTGGACCTCAATATCCTACTCTCGGAGTGACTACTTTCGGCTCATCTCGACATCACTCAACAGGCGATGTCAACGACCGAGAAGTAGGGCTGGGGATCAATCCTTTCGCTGACGGGATGGGTGCTTTTAAGATCAGCCCCAGCACTCACGATCTCGCATCGGGTCAAACAGCCTTCACGTCGCAGGCTCCGGGCTACGCCGCTGCTCTGGGTCACCATCCGAGCCATGTGAGTTCGTACAGCAGCGCAGCGTTCAACTCGACCCGGGACTTTCTGTTTCGCAATCGGGGCTTCGGGGAAGCGGCGGCGGCGGCCAGTGCCGGCCACAGCCTGTTCGCTTCGGCGGCGGCTGCGGGCAGCTTCGCGGGACCTCATGGACATACTGACGCCGCGGGGCACCTACTCTTCCCGGGTCTTCACGAGCAGGCGACCAGTCACGCATCGCCCAATGCACATGTAATGAACGGCCAAATGCGCTTAGGTTTTTCTGGGGACATGTATGGCAGAGCAGACCAGTACAGTCAAGTTACTAGTCCCAGATCGGACCACTACGCCTCGACCCAGCTACACAGCTATGGCCCCATGAACATGAACATGGCGGCCCATCATGGGGCCGGGGCCTTCTTTCGTTATATGAGGCAACCCATTAAGCAAGAACTCATATGTAAATGGGTAGAGCCCGAACAGTTGACGAATCCCAAAAAATCCTGCAACAAAACTTTTAGCACGATGCACGAACTGGTTACTCACGTAACAGTGGAACACGTTGGGGGTCCAGAGCAGTCGAATCATGTCTGTTTCTGGGAAGAATGTTCAAGAGAGGGAAAGCCTTTCAAAGCCAAATATAAACTTGTAAATCACATCAGAGTCCACACTGGCGAGAAACCATTCCCCTGTCCATTCCCTGGCTGTGGCAAAGTCTTTGCCAGATCAGAAAATCTCAAGATCCACAAAAGAACTCACACAGGTATGGCGAATGTGTTTAAAATTAAAAGGGAGAGTGGAATACTGCGAAACATTACTAGCCGTTTCAAACGTATTTTAATATTTTTAAAATAAACGGGACACTTCAAGTATTTATTTAGTAACGTGTTGTACATGCATGTGCAGATAAATATTTATATCAGAATAAAATTAGCATGTTTAAGTATTTTGATTTCCCTTAACTCCCTGTGTTCTGTATTTTGGCTTTGTGAGCGCTGTTCTTTTAAAACCTAGGAATGTTACATACTGTGCAGTTCTGCAAATGCACTAAAAGCAACGCTTAATGATTTCCAAAATTGAGGGAAATAGTTACGCAGCAAATATGTTCTGATAATTGCCTAATTTTTTCATTCAGTTATTACTGAGTTTAATTTTATCTCAGAGGAAATTATTCAGGACTGATGGTTTATATAGTTTCGTTGCAAATTCACAACCGGCAATTGCACTGTCTATTTTTGTTCGTCGCTTCCTCTTTTCTATCGCATTTTGTGTTTACATATTTATAGCTACCTATGTATGTATATAAGTATGTGTGGCTGGACATACCTAAAACTGCAAAAATAACTTCTGTATACTCAGAAGCAGATAATTGATTGTATGTTCGCGTGTCTATTTGTGTGTATGTGTGCGTGCCTGTGTGATGCACCTTAACATACATTTTGGGATCTCCAGGGCTTACAACCTTGTTAAAACTTGGTTCACAACATGGGATTGTGGGGAAAATAGCACTAGACAACAATGTCGTTGTTAATGACACATAATGGTTAGGTGGTTGTAAAGATTTTGCAAAGTCGAGATTTAACACTTTCTCGACTATAAAACCTCCAGGGGCACTTAGCAACAATTCTCTTCACTGCATGAGATGTCCACCGACTCTTACTTTAAATAAACAGAATTGGAAACGCTTTAATTAAAGCGAAAATGTAAGTAGCATGAGCAAATAATCATTTCTGTTGTATTTTTGTAAACGCTGTTTGTGTGTGCGTTACAAGGATTTACGATAGTTCATCACAGAAACATTTCATTTTCAGAAGGGGAACTACACTAGATATAAGAAGCAGAAACTTAAAACTGTTCTGTTGCAATATTTTCAAGTTTATTCGAGGTTCCTTGCATTTTTGAAAGAGCAATAAATGTTCATGTATTCAAACAAGGCCGTTTACGGCAGCTGTAACATCATGTAACCAGTCACTGATGAATGAAGCAAAGAATCGTCATTTATTAATTTAATCTTATGTATTCTTCACAAAATCCCCAGCTGTTTACGTACTTTTTTTTTTGAAAAAGGATGATACAGTTATTTACGGTTGGCGATAAATGTTTTGTAGAATACTGTGGAAGGGTAGTGCAAAATTTGGACTTATTTTCATTTTCACGCTGGCTGCTTTTCTTGTCTTGTGAATGCGCACATGGGGCTGTATTAATATCTGTGCAGAGCAAATTTGAAAGGAGCTAAGATTGCTACTTAGTCTTACTAAAAATTGTCATCGTTGATAGGCGAGAAACCGTTCAAGTGTGAGTTCGAAGGGTGCGACAGGCGTTTTGCTAACAGCAGCGATCGCAAGAAGCACATGCACGTGCACACTTCCGACAAACCGTACCTCTGCAAAATGTGTGACAAGTCCTACACTCACCCGAGCTCTCTACGAAAACACATGAAGGTAAATAACAATAAAAAATCTCAGTTTGAGTTGCGAAATATTTACAGTGGCGTTAAATAATTCCAAGGCTTTATGTGCTAAGGAGCATGAGGAAATTGAATGGTCATCCTGCATATCTGACATCCTCAACGCTGTGCACACTAAATTAAAGAGGCAGTGTCCCTCTTATAGCCTGGTGTTGTCAATTTTTTTGTTCTATCATAGATCAAACCTAAACATTGTTCACAGCGATGACAGCTTTCATCTTTAATGAACAATATGTAGAACGTTTTTGGTTTGCTACTTTTGTTTATTTAACAAGTTTTCAAATATTATTTTAAAAATCGAATTGCTTTTTTTTAGTAATGCCTAATCAATTTAAGCTGTACAATGTGTGCACATTTACTGTACAAATCTCTTGCAAAGCTTTACACCAACCTTTAGTTGTCTTAGCTTACATGGTGGATGGTTTTTGTAGGTTCACGAAGCATCCTCTCAAGGATCACAGCCTTCTCCAGCGGCAAGTTCCGGCTATGAGTCCTCAACACCCCCCACCATCGTGTCGCCCTCCACAGAAAACCAGACCAACAGTTCAATGTCCCCAACATCTTCTGCAGTCCACCACACATCCAACCACAGCACGCTTTCATCGAACTTTAACGAATGGTACGTTTAAGTAGACATACATCAAAAAATTACAAAAACATACAAAAAAAAACTTTTCACAAAAAGACTCCAAAGTTACGATCGCGAGGAATCAAAGACAAAAAAAAAAGCTGCCAATAGACGCCGGGAGGATTTTTTCTTATAAAAAGGAAGAAAACGAAACCTTGAAAGGTTACATTGTAGCAAATTTTAAAATGCATGTAGGACGATGATATTTCTCTAGTCATTGCCTAGTGCTAGGGTCGAAGAAAGAACTGATAAAGCTTTGAAATTGCATGTGTTCTATGGCAGCGGCCTTTTCTCTCCTTTTTGTAAATATAGAATTATTAGATTAAGAGTCTAATGTTTCAATCTTGTACATAGGCATATCACAGGGGATTTGTCAACGTGGTATTTGCATATCTGGGCGACGGTTGGAAAAAAATGCAATTATTTGTTTATGGATGGCAAAAAAGTTACTATAGTCGATGTGTACCAAAATGTGAATTAATTTGTATTTCAGTCTCAACTGAGAGTCAGAAAGCTAGCAGATACTATTGTTATTAATGTGCTTTTTGTATCCAGTGCAAACCTTCGTCCCAAAGTCCAGTCGGAGTAGTGAAGTGTTCAAAGTGTTGCTTGTTATGTCAAAAACAAATCGTAGTGCAAGCTTGGAACTCCGTGTTAAAATGTAACTTTGTTTTATGTAAGACTTGATATTAAAGCAAAATAAGAAATTTATCTGTTCATTGCCTTCGCATTTGCGATAAATTTATGTATATATTCCCAATCTCCATATTTATCCGCATGTACGTAAATTACCGGTATTACGTGTTACAGATATTCGATATTTATGAAAGATGCATTCGTATGTAAAACCTAGTTTACAAACTGTTCCATAACATTTCGTACAATATTAAAGATTCCAAAATCCAATGCGTTGCATTCAGTATTTTTATTCATAGGGCGAATTATTGCACGCCACCGAATTAAATAATCAAGGAAATAAGGAGCACTATATAATTTTTTTTAACGTTGTTGAAATCGTGTCTACTAAACCATCAGAAAAGTGCCTTTGGAGATATAAAAATAATGGATTAAAGCATCCCTGCTGGTATTAGCTTATTACATAATTAGTATTCATACCTAAATTTATGAAACCAAAATTTTGGATCACTATATAATAATATTTTAAATTAACTTTTCAGAACTTGTAGTAGCAGCCATAAAATATCAGAAAGGGGAAGATTACTCTTCCAACATAAATATTAATACTGGGCATTTAATTGATGCGTGGCGTAAAGCTAACCGTCTGACTCCACAGGAAGTTAGCGAAAAGAATAATATGTCCTTTTCGGACACATTTGTTTACGGAAGTGCGTTGATGGATATTACACTTTTATTTGAAAGCCTTGGAATTTAAAATATATCTGTGTAATTAGGCAGCATTGTAGACACTTTTTGAAGATTTAATTATGGCAGATTTCTCTAACTTTTCCATATGGAAGAGCAAAATGCACATATACGTTTTTTGCAATTAGACAAGGCCTTCTTGACTTCATATTTTTTGCAATTACAAACGTTAATAGCTGGTATTAATTGACATCATCTATAATTTAAGGTTTTTTTTAGACTGTGAATTATTAGCAATGCTTCTTAGCCCAAGCTCTTGGTGTGAAATTAAATCTACAAAAATACAATTTATTTTATGCAATCAGATTTTCTCTTTGCGCTTTTACTTACTTAATTCACATCCACTTTTAAAATTCCCTTCCATACAACGGTGCTCATAGAAATTGCTAAGTGAGGAAAAAATAAAAATCTAAATTACTTATGTTTAATGACTGTAGCCAAACGCCTGCTTCACTAAATCAGATTGTCCTCCTTGCTATTTACTTTGATAGATTTGCAGGCTATACTGCTTCCACTAACTTAGCTACGCTTGTTGGAACTGTTGGGCTTTGTTCTTCATTGTAGCTTGCATGACCGCCCCATTAAGCAGACAACATATCAACAGACAACACAAATCATGATGCTAGCTAAAGTTACCAAAGCTTGTGATGTCCATAGAATACATAACAGAAAATGACCTTCCGGGAGATGAGATTGATAGTTTAACTGCTTATTCAAAGATTAGGGTTATAGAGGCCAGTGCTATATGGTAAGCAGGCGGCTTAGAGAAAGAGATAAGTTCATCTGGTGTAGGGGTCGCAATGTAGCACCAAATGCAATTAAATTCGTAAATATTAGTTTAGTCATCATACTCAGAAATGTAATGTTGATGTTTTCCAACATCGGCTTGAAATTGTCTTAACTGACAAACAGGCAATGCAGAGAATGCTGATTCGAACCAGTGAGGATACGCTTCATCCATGATGTTTAGCAATGTAGTAGTTTTTTATTTCTTTTTTTAAAAGAAAAACCAAGCCATGGCCTTATGTACGTTTGCGTGAAGGATGGTACTTCTGAAATTAATCTTTTCAGCAGCCGGTAAGAGTCAGTCATAGTAGCGTTCAAAGTAAAACCAATCATAGAGCGCCACCTTGTAGAAGGAAGGATTGTAGGGACTGAACTGCCAGTGGGATGGAGAGATTCGCTTAGCAACAAATTTAAAAAACGGGTCATTTGCAGAGTTTTCTTGCTGCGTATGCCTAGATGCATTTAAATATTTTTAAAATTGTTTTCCGATTTGTGGATCTTGAGAGCGGAGCCATCAAAGTCATCGTGCTGAAATAAAAGACACGAAAGCAAAATTGACCAATGTTGGAGCTTTGAGCGAATGTATTTGGTATAAAGCGTTAAAATAATGTACATCAGTGTAAACCAGCTATGGCGTGTAGGAGAGCATATTGTTTATAAACAGGAATAGGAAACCGGTTTGAATGTTGTTTAATAGATTAATGCCACACTTTCTTTAAAACAAAAAGCAACGATTGCTCCGAGTCCCCATGAAAGGCGAGCAAATAAAAATAAAAATATAAGTTACCTGAGTTGGTTTTTTGGAACCCATGCAACAGTGACTGCCTATTATAATGGCAAGATAAAGTTGGTGTGAATGGCGCAGTGTGTTTTGAACCTGATATGCACGGCCGCCACGATTGTGAGCTCCTGCACACTGTGGAACACAAGTGTCAACCTCCTTGGGCCAATTGCTTCGCCCTTTCTCCAATTTGCTTGCTCTTAGTTTACTGGAAAGAATGCTAAAGTCTTGCCTTCTCCACCATCCCCCCTCCACCCCGTTGCAAACCTAACGTTGGCAAGTTGGACATCAGGAGTGCTCGGCGAACTGATGAGAGCGAAAGTTTAGCATTTTCCAATTTTAATAAATGGGAATTCAGCGCGAGTTTAGCTGTTTGCAAATCCAGCACAACGATTCGCACCATTGCAATAAAAGAAACCCAAGGAATCAGAAACAGCAGAAGATTTTTGACATTTTATTGACTTGCCTCAAACGGACAGCGATGTAGAAGAGTAACGTTGTTGGCCAATTTGGATTTTATTCATTACTTAATTTCTTTTTTTTTAAATGATATTTTCTTCATGGTTTATTGATTTTTGAAACCCATGAGAATTTGCCTTAGAATGTACTATTCAACACTATTTAACAGAAGGCGAGTAAATGCATCGCAAATGGCCTGTTTCAGTGAAAATACTTTGGGACCTATTTTTCATTCAGACACTGTTTGCGGGAAAATATAATACAGGTACTGTATGTAATGCCGAAAACATAGCACACCCTGCATTTTCATCTTCGGAGCTAAACAGGGTGATTTTATTTTTCTTGAGGCGCGTTCTTGCAACATGGGAGCGGATTAGTGCGGTTTTCACTGCCGGTTCTGCAAACACAAATCTCCATTATTGTTGCCAATATTTATAGGTACAGTATTGGTAACACGCATAACACATAGTAAAACACTTTTAAAAGGCGTATCTCCGTCTCGACGCAACATCGGTTTAGACAAGATCCGTCTCAAAGAACCGAAAAGCCTTTTATTTTGTTCTTAATGGTGGGAGTAAATACTGCACGTAGCAGTAACAAGTGCAATTTTCTAACGTTGTCGACAAGCATTAACTGAACCTGGATAGTTTTGGAATAATGGGGTTGCCTTTTTTGAATTCTTACCTCCGATCCTTCTTGCTGAATACAACGAGCTGCTCATATTTTGGAAAATAACACACATCTTTGTTAAAATGTCCCAATCTCAGAAACCGTCCCTACTGGGAACTAAAATCAATTCAATTCAATTAAACAGGGTTATCGGCATGTAGATGCGTACCGAAAGATATTACCGTCTCTTTATTTTTTGTTTCGCTTTTAAGCACGTTTGTTATGCAATGCACTCTATCTTAAGTTAATCCGAGTGGAGCCAATACTGTTTCGATCTTGGTTACTTTACAATTTCTCCTTGTTTACCTACAGAAAACAAGCCGAGGGCCCAAGGGTTCTCGAGGGTCGTGCAATTCACTAACTACAGAAATACGTTCAGTCTGTGGAACATCGCTGCTATTTTTAACCTGCAGCTGGAAGCTGCCATCAATTTGTAACATTCATTCCAATGTTAGAATGATAGCACACAATAGCACGGAGTTACCAGATGACGCACTTTACACACAAGAAAAGGTTTAAGGGGAATTAGCATAAGCATGCTGCATTTTTTTTATTCGCGTTGCAATTCCTACTACTGGAATTACAGAGACAATCGGAGAAGGCAAAAGGAGGAAGATTGTTTAATGTTTAGCTCGGCGCTCTTCGTCCCAAATGACTGCTGTGTCATCAAGAGGTTTCTATCAGTGTGAAACATTCTTGGAACTTCACTTTGGCGAGACAGTGCAGCCGGTCGCCGTACATGCGCAGTGCACCCATTGGAAATGTAGCCAACAGTGTTACACGTGCTGGGGAATATTTATTTTATAATCGCCATCCCTTGACCTTCCAGCACTGACACCGAGCAGGACAAATCAGGTCCCCGTCACTTACGGCAGCTTCTAACACATGCTAATGATATCCAGCAATAATTGCATCTGTATAAATTATATTAATATAAATGTCCCCGCATACATATTTATACTTGCAATATATACACAGCTAGAATTAAAATGTTAAATTACTTTGCTGGTTCCTTGATAGACTTATTGAATCAGCATCATTTATCTCAATTCAACCCTTCAACTTTTTAATTTTTTTTGTCTGTTGGCTTTGTCTGATCTGCAATGTCAGTTTAATATCAATTCACATAAAACTAAATTGATCAAATACATCAATCGCGCTTTAAGTTTTTTTTTTAAACAGGGCATAACTATTGACTTCAAATCAGCACTTTTTCCTCTTCTGTCAGTGAAAATTTACTTGGAGTTTATCAGGATTGCGTTGAAATCGATCACACGTGCGAACTATC